ATGTGTGGTTGCCTTTCAAGCATGCCACACTGGGGACCTGGCCAGCAATCCAGGCATGTGCCCTGGGAATCAAACCAGCGACGCTTTGGTTCACAGGCTAACACTCAATCCACTGAGCCACACTAGTCAGGGCTACAGTTCTAAATTCAAACCTGTCTTCCAGAATGTTCTGCAGGTATATTTGCAAGAATAGAAGGATAAAATGCATTTTGTTTCACGGTTCACTTGCTGGATTTATCACTTTTAAATATCTTGGCCTGTGCCATGTGATCCTCTGTACTCTTGCCTGGGGTTCCATGCACGTTAGCGATAGATCTGATCTTTATGGAGACAGATATTAATTAAATAAGCAAGCAAAGAAATGTAAAACTGAACCACAGCGCTAAGAAAATAGTGCACTTTTGGCTCTCTTCTAAACTGCTCTGTCTCATCTCCATTCCCAAGATTCTAATTGCATCTTGGGGCCTCCAGCTTTGCTTAAGCTCTGCAAAGCCCTCCTATTACTCCCCAAGAATCCAAAACACTGACTAAAATATTCCATTCTAGCCCTGACTGGTGAGGGTCCAGTTGGTTGGGTGTTGTCCCATAGAGCAGAAGGCGATATAGGCTTGATGCTGGGCCAGGCCACATGCCTGGGTTGTGGGCTAGTCCCCTGTTGGGACACTTACAAGGGGCAACTAACTGGTCGATATTTCTTTCCCACATCAGTGTTTCTCTCCATCTCTTCCCCTTTCTTTAAGAATAAATAAATAAATGTTTTAAAAAATATTCCACACTACTCTTGCACTTTCTGAACACGGAGCTCCAGGGAAGCAGACCCCAGGAAGAATAAGAGGTAGACGAAGCCTCTTAATCTCTTTCAGACTCATTTCCTACTTTCCATTAAGTTCAGAACAGGTGCCCTGCCACTACTACTGCCATGTGGGTTTTATCTTTGTACCCACCTCCAGGTGCTCCAAAACAGTCCTACCTCTTTGTCAAGCTACCCTTGTGTCTCACCTCTTTTCTGCTTCTGGCTTCCTAAACTCAGCCCTAAGTCTATTTCATCTCACTTGGTCTTCAGCAGCCACAGAGAAGAAGCCTTGTCTGACTAATTGGAGAAAAGGTGGCAAATTCTCCCACCTGCCTCTCTGAATAGGCACCCCACACACTAGCTGCTTTTAAACATGCATCCCTTCTTGTACCCGGTATTACTGTAATTCACCTGCGACTCACTGTCTTTGTGTTCTTGATCTCTATCAGCCTCTGTGATGTCTGGGCTGGATTGTCAAACTCTCAGAGGGCAGGGCCACATCAGCCCTGTGTCTTTAGACCCTGCCCAGCAGGACAGCAGGCATAGGTGGGCACTTTGTAGACACTTTTGATGGAGGAACCAGGCCAGCACTGAGCGCATTGTGAACTCACGGAAAACAACCTCCAGACACAGACAGCGATCACAGCAGACCTCCTGCCAGACTGGGAGCCAGGGCACATTTTTCATTTTAAGTGAGGCAAGGGGAGCATCTTCATGCTACTGAGATGATAACGACGACAACAGCAACAACACACTGCGATGGCACTGTTTTAACTGTGTTGACTCATCTGATTCTCAGAATGACCTTATGAATTGGAACTATCATTGTTATCCCAATTTTACAAATGAGGTTCCCAAGTCACAGAGAGGCTATGCCATGTGTTCAGACCTCAAACTGGAGCCACCTGGCTTTAGACACGCCAGCTTACCCACCAAGGTGCATGGTCCCTCAAAGTGAACTAGAAATGGAGAATGAAGGGTTGGTGACTGGGCTCTTGTCTCAGACTCTCATGGGTCCTTGACCCCTGTCCCACCTGAATGAATGGCGGAGAGGAGGAAAGTGGGTACTCAATTGGCTTTCCAGCATTAAGCCATGCTGTCTCTCAGCATTGGTTCATACCTGTCCCTATCCATCCTCCTGTCCTCTCTTCTGTTTCTCAGACATGCTCAGCTTGTTCATACCGAGGCTTTTGAACCTTCCTCCACCTAGAATACGCTTCCCAGAACTTTGCCTCAGGGGGTCCTCCTCATGGTGTAGGTGTCTGCTCAGAGGGCACATTCGTAGGAAGACTGTTCCCGATCACTGTATCTAATGTAGCTGCATCTTTTGCAAGTCCTCCCTTTCATTCTTGTCTAACTCATTTTCCTCTTGTTCTTATCGGTTTGGTCCACTCCCGGACACTCCACACCTGGAACAGCATCTGGCAGGCTATAGACACCCAGCCCATGTGTATTAAATGCATGTATGAATGAATGACACAAAGTCCTTTAAAAATATGTGGTACTAGCTAGATCCTTCAGTTGCCCCTCATTACATACATTATAAGTCCCTGTCAAGAAGATACCACATCTTCATTCTCGGCAGTCTTTAGCCTTTAGAATGGTGGCACATGACTGGGGAGCTGTTCAGTTCCTTTGTTGGGGCAGAAAAAAAAAGACTAAAACATTCAGCCTTGAAATTACAGATGATCTGCACTCCTTTCAGGGCCACTTGTGGACAATTGCTTTCTCCCTGAACAGAAACTGAGATACCAAAATCTCAGCTTCTCTCTCCACGCTCTCTCTCTCTCTTCCTCTTTCTCTTCTCAAGAAAGTTTTTCTCATCTCTTTTCCCTTTGTCTCCCTTCCTCACTGAAATGCTGTGGAGAAAGATGAACAAGAAGTGGGAAAATGTGTTCCCCACATCTAATCCACATGACTCTTAATACTTCTTTAACACAGCCTCATTTTAATCTCCTGGTTCCTGCACAGATAAAGCAAATCCCCAAGATATAAGAATCATATGCAGGAACTACTTGATCTGATCCCATGTTAATGCCAACATGATATCCTATTTCTCCCACATAACAATAGAGCCCATTTCTTTCTTGGTGTTAGCTTTTTTAGTCAATGTTTTCTTTATGACACATGATAAACATAATAAACAAGAAAGAAAAGCTCCTAATCTCTGACCCAATCCTGCAGCACGTGAAGGTGTTTCACAATATTCTTATGATCTCATTTTTTTCTTTTCTCAACAAAATACTGCTTTTTCATGAGCAAGATACATTCTATTATCTATTAATTCCTCTCAAGGCATTTTCGTGTTTATTATCTCCTGGGTCTTCCCTACACACATAAGAAAAGGGGGGGGGGACTGAAAAAGGTATCTTCGAATCACAGAAGTTGGGAAAGGGGCCCAGAGGCATAAAGCAATATGAAGTTCACACAGCAGGTGAAATACCATTCAAAACAGGCTCCAAGTCTTGCAGTTCTCTATGGACAAGAGTGCTCTTATCAAAAGCCACACTCCCAGCAGCCCTTATGACACACAGATCTGAGCAAGCCCATATGGGAGAAGAAAGAAATAGCTTAAGAAGTTAAGAAACTAAATAATTCCTTTTTTTGGAATAGATGAGGCTCCTGACTGGGGCAAGATCCTGACCAGGTGTATCCCAAAGTGAGGCATCCCTCCTGCTCAGCCGAGCCACTCTGCCTTGTGTCTCCTGGAGTCCTAGCACTGGAAGTGAGGAGAAGGGCTGAAAGAAAGGCACTGAGCAGGAATCCTGGACCTGCTCCCTTAACAGGAGACCTCAACTCTGGGCAATACTTCATTTGGGACTTCAGGCAGTCATCATAAGAAGGCAGAATCTAGCTCTCCCAAGTCTCAGAGATATTTACTTACTCCGAGATCTACATCACCTCCTCTCATAATGCCCAGGCTGTGGCCCCAGTCATCACTTGTCCCTGAAGTGCTTTCTCCATTCAGAGCAAAGAAAAAATGAGTGAAAATGTCAGCTAAGCCTGCCTCTCAGAAGGCAAGCCCTCAACAAGAATCAGGACCACTCAGGAACACCAGCATGGCATTCTAATGCTTTGCATTTGTTCAGGGAGCACCCAGAAGTCTTCCCTCCACTTCTTGGAAATCAGTGAAGAAGCAGCCGATGTGGCCACATAATTCTGCCCTGGGTACAAGTGAGTATTCTTTCTCCAGCATGACTAACTAGATCAGATTTTCAGATCTGGGATTCTGTGGAAAATGTTGCCACAATGTGACTCTAGAGGAGTGTGCATGTGCTATCCAGCACTGCGAACACTAGATTGGAAGTGGAGTTCAAAGAGGGTGGGGTAAGTACATCTGTGAAAATATGAATGAATGGGGTAGTGAGACCCCCTCAGACTTGGGAAGACTCTGGTCCATGAGGTACTTGCCATCCCTTATCCTGGATGGGGAGAGTTGACGGGACCATCTAAGTTGATGTGCTTCAGGCCTGAGAAGAGGAATCGATATGACAAGATTTCCTACTAGCTTCTTTATTTACCTTAAACTCACTCCCACCCCATTACCCACCTGCTTTCAACCTAGGAAAAATTTGAATCTGGCAAAAAGTGTCTTAACAAGCTGTAGTCTTCTCAGACCTAGAATCCCTCTCTCATTTCTCTGCAGTGACTAAAACACACTGCTGAGAATACAATATCATATGGAAGGGGGTAGTCTCTAAATGAAAGATCAGGCACAGGCTTGTTGGGTTTTTAGACTATGAGAACAGGGAAAGAGGGCAAGATCTCTACACACTTTCATGGAGGGAAGAAGTTTGAATGTGGAACTGAAGGTAGGCCAGAGAAAATGTCACTAACAACGTATCAGATAAAAGGATATCTTCACAACATGTATGAATGGACCACCAAGTTCCTTCATTTCATTGCTTCTGATTTCTGGATCTTCTATTTTGAGGACACTTATAGAATTTTTGCATGAAACTGAAGACACTAGCATTGGAAGGAAAATGCAAAAACTGAGCTACAACTGAGCCACCAAACAGGCTGCACCAGGAACCAGACACCTTTTGGGAAAACTTAACCAGAAGAAACATCATTGAGGAGCCCTTAAAACCTACAGTCCTCACATTAGACATGACATGGTGGTTCCCCAGGGCCAGGAGGAAGCAGCAGTCTGCAAGATCTGGAGATATCACAAGGAAACAGGAAGGGGGAAAAGTGGTCTCACCTGTTCTGGCCCCTGGAAGCAGATACGGCACAGCGGGGTCCTCATGCCACTGTCCAGACTGCTGCCCAGTGAGTAGCGATCCTCAGCCTTCCCCTTACAGAAGTCATCTGAGGAGGCACTGCTGAGCAGCGAGGCAGGTGGCTCTGTGGCTGGGCCACCCCAGTCATCTTCCACAGAAGACAGTGGCAAAAGTGGTGGAGGTGGCAGAGGAGGGGTCTCCCTGCCCACCCCTTCTCGAGGACCCCTCCAGCCTGTCCACCCTCCGGCACCCAGAGCCGGAAGGGTGTTGTTGTTGGCTGTCAAACCAGGGGCCTGGGGGTCGCCGTGCATGGGCAGGGGCGCTGGAGGGGGGCGCCGCAGTAGGAAAACCTTCAGGTCATTGAAGAGCATGCGGCAGCGGCACTTGAGGAGACCCTGGTGGCGCAACATCTGGGGAGCCGGGGTGCACAGTCCACAGCGGTACCAGGCACAGCAGTAGCAGCAGCACCACCACCAGAGCAGCCCGCTCAGGGGCATCAGCATGTGCCCAGTGGAAGCAGAGAACCCGGGAGAGGCAGCTGGAGTCTTTGCAGAAGATAGAATGATTTTGAGGGGCCCACAGCGTAGCTGTGTTATGCAGGAGTCTGCTTTCTCACTGGCTCCTCTAATACCCCCTCCAAGTAGCAAATAAATTACCCTCAGGACTTATGACTGCGAGTCACTGATTCTGAACTTTACCTGGAAAATCCAACAACAAAAAAAGTTTTTCTTGCCCTCCACACCTACCTCACCCCAACCTTAGGCTTTGCTCAGGGTGCTTCCTCTGTGCTTTTGACCTGAGGGCACTGGTAGGGGCAGGGCTATAAAATATGTTGAGATAGGCTGTTAGGGCCTTGGGATAAAGGTCTAATTGTTATGAAATTCCCCAGGAGAGGATTATTAGGTTGTTTTCAAATTCCTGGGCAGTGGGAAATCTTTTTTCTTATATTTAAAAATGTGAGTATGATTTTGAATCAAATTCAGGGTGGATTGAGCTGCAACGGGGGCAAACTAGCTCAGTGAAGAATTGAGAGCCTGCATGTGGAAGAGAGAAAAGATTGTTTCTCCTCAGGTAGAAAGAGATTGGTTTGTGAGTGTGTTGGGGCGGGGGGTAGGGGGTAAGGTGAAGGAAAGAAGGAGGAAAGGAGGTTGGGACAAGTTTTAACTCTCTGGACAGAAAGCAGAGGCAATTAACCCCAGAAGCACCAGCGTTGCTTTTAAGAGAGTGGTCCCAGTGGGGGGAGGGATTGCAGGTGAACCTGGGCCAGGGGCTTGTGCTTTGCTTCTGCAGCCAAAGGACTGCACCGAAAGGGGAAAAGCCAATCAGGAGAATAGAGATGGCAAAATCAGGGGGTGGGAAAGGGGGAAGGGGGGAGAAAAGAAAAGATCTCTTAATGCTTACAGAACGCCTTCTTCCCGAGCATTAAGATCCCGGCTGGAAGAAGGGTGTGGAAAGGGAGCAGGAGGCAGTGGAGCAGAGAGAAGGAGTAGAGAGAGAGAAGGGGCGTGTAGGAAGGGACCGGAGGAAGGAGTAAGTTACATGACCTCAGCCCCCAGCCCACCCCTGAGGCAGTCTGTAAATCCAAGGCCCCCTCCCCTCGGCTCCATCAAAGGTCCCTTCCTGCGAGGGCCGAGGGCCGGGAGAAGGGCAGGTCCGGGAGGGTGAGTGGCCTCGCGTTCTGCTCCTCTTCTTTCCTGGGGCGGTGGTCACCCTCGCCCTCAGGCTCCAGGTCTGCCCGCAGCCAGCGGTGCTGCTTCTGGGGAGGCGGTGGTGACTGCTGGTCAGCGTCCGGGAGTGTCCGGGGCGGGGGCTGCTCTGGCTCGTCCTCGGGCTGCTGCTCGCCGTCCGGCGCGGCCACGACTTCAGGCTTCATGATCCTCCGCCGCCGCCTCCTCCTTCCCGGGGGGCTGGCCCTGCGCCCCCGCGCCGGGGCAGCGCGGCCATGCAACCAGAGGCGAGGCAGGCGCAGGGGTGGGGGCGGCTGAGGAGTGAGAAAGGGAGTAATAGAAAATGAAATGATACTAGTGAAAGAAGAACAATTCTGTCCTCAAATAGTCGGAAAAGAGCGCTTCTGGAGGGGTGGGGGCGCAGGAGGGCGGCTGCCGGGTCTCCACGGCAGCCCGGCCCCCCCACCCCCACCAAGGGCGGCCTCGGCCCGCTCCCCCAGACCCCCTCCACGCCGCCACCCCGGCCTCTCCACGGCCTCCGGCTGCCTGGGCGTGCTCTTGCTACCTCTTCTCGCAGACGCGACGAGGTAAGGGTTGTTTGCGGGGCCAGCTGAAGGTGGGCAGAGGGAAACGAAGCAGTGTGGCCGAGGTGAAATGCAGTCGGCACTTGGCTCCGGCTCGGTTTTCGCGACTCCCCAAAACCGTATACAAATATATCTCTTAGAAAAGGCGAGAGGAAGCAAATCCGATCCCAGGCTGCTGCCAGGTGTTGTCTCGTCTTCCACCGTTGCTCGGCACCCGCCGCCGCGAATGCTGCCCCCTTGGCTCAGTCCCCAAAGGGGTGTTGCTGGAAGGGAGGTGGCGTGGGCTGTGAGTTGCGCGTCCGAGGACTGGAAACAATGTGCTCGGAGCGAAGAGAGCTCCCAGCTATCTCGGCCGCCGCGGCCGCCGAAGCCGCCGCTGCTGCATTCAGCACCCCGGGCGAGTGGACAGCTCCCGCCCAGACCCCGCGCGTCAGGCAGGTGGGGGCCTGACGCAGCCGCCACGCCACGCGAGGGGATGGAGGAGGGAAAGGGTGTGAGAGGGAAAGAGCCTAAAGAGGGAGGGAGCCAGAGAAGAGGAGAACTGAGCGAGGGAAGGGGGTGGGGAGGGACCAAGGGAAGGGAAGAGGAGAGGGAGGGATTTAGAAAGGAAGGGAGGAGGGAGTGAAATGGATGGAGGACGAGGGGGGGAAGGCAAGTGGGGTGGAGGAGAGCACTTCAGGTATTAACGTGCATTTTCTCCCAGATGGAAAGTATCGGTGGGTAGCGTGGTTGTAGAATTTCTTCCCACTGTACACTGTCATCGCCCCCTCAACACACATACATTTGCACAGAGGTAGAGGCTTCTACATCCGAACCAGAGTCCATTTCACTGCCCATATACAAATTTTTAAGCAGATAATCAGTGTACAGGATTTGGAAGAGATAAAGTTTTTGTGACTCTCATATCGATGCTGGGACTGAATGGAGAACAAGCCGTTCATGACTAGGAACTGATGAGAAAGAAATATTTCAGACAAGGAGAGAAATGCTAGCATAATCTTTGCCAATTTCTTCTAGAATTTAATATCTAAATGGCAGAAATAGTTTAGAGGGGTCTATTTCTATCCCACATGTCTAGGTCAGTGATGACAGGCAGTAGGTGCTCAATACATATTTGTTGAGTGGAGTATGACCACTACCACCATCCCCACAGTTATCATTAATTACTCTCAGCCACAGACCTCTTTCAATGCAGTGCATAAGATTCTAAAGTAATATTACAGCTTCATCCTCACCAGCATCTCCAGCTTTTCACTGAGCCACTGACAAGTGGTCATTTGAAAAGGATTCGAATTTCTTTTCTTATTTCTGCATCTGGCCCATGTCACCCCACCTCATTCTTCTCAAAAAGTTTCTAGTGAGCAGAAAAGTACAGAGTTAGTAGAAAAATAGTCCCTGAATGTGAAGAGCAAAAGAAAGAAAGAAAACTTAAAGTGGTCTGTAAAAATACTCAATGTTTGCTATACTGCTTTCTTGCCTTTCCTCATAAACACTCTCTCTTTCTCACACACACACACACATACACACACACACACACACACACACACACACACACACACACACACACACACACACACACAGCCCTCCAGAGCCATAGACTTGGATAAACTATCCCAATGAGTCATTCACACAGCTGTGGTAATGTCTTTAGAAATAGAGGAACCATAGACAGAATAGCATTCAAAATCACTGCACCAAAATATCATTGGCATGAAGTTCAGCCCTTTGAATCAAAGAAAATTACCCCTTTGCTGCCATCTCCTTGAATGATTCGGTATTCTCAGCTCTAAGGAACAAGGACTTAAGTCTGGGTCTTGGTTAACCCAGTGTGGCTGCTTGTTTGAATCATGCCTCAGCACCCACTGAGGCTTTTGACACCTAGCCCAGAGTGAGTGATTTGAAGATGATGCCGGTACTATTAATAAGTACAAAAGTGTGTATATTATTGATATCAGCATGACTACTGTGCTGCAAATGGTAAGTTCTTTGTTTAAAGGAGTCTATATGCTCTGAAAGAAAATTCTCTGTGCTCCATATCACCCTGCACCTCCCTCTGACATTATGCAAATCTCACTCTATAATAATGGTCTCCTCATACATTCTTTCTGTACAAGACTTAGAGCTCCTTGAAGGCAAGGATCAGAGTTTATAGTTATATCATCAGCACATAATATAACACCTAAAGTCTGGTGAGCGGTCAAGAAAATGAACACTGAATGAATGAATGAATGAATGATGGCCTTATTGTTTAGTGAAGCTGTCATATTTCTTCCCTTCAAGCTAGACACATACATGTGACGGTTCTCATACATGACTGAATATCTGCTATACCTAAAATTGAGTATCTGATTTTTCTGCTGGTGAAATACTAGTTCCAAGTGTGGCATGCAAATAAATTGGAACAGAGGCTAGACAAGCCACATAAAGCTTGCATTCAGAGTTATAGAAAAGGACGATATCCATAAGAAGACTGTCTTTCCCAACCCTTCCACTAAAAGCAAAAGGATTCCTAGAAGCAGAAAGCTGCTAAGGATAACAAGCAACAACAGGTCTGTCTTCAGAAAGACTGAAAGGCTTGAGGACGCTATTTAAAATATGATGTAAATCCTGAAAAGCACTTCACCGAGTTAGAGTTTCCTTGTGCTGATGATGAAACAGCGGTTGTGAGCCCCAAGAGTAAAAGCCACAGTAAAGAAAATGTTAAATCAATGAGTCTCCATTTAAGCATTCAAAAAATATTTACTGAACACTAATCATAGGCAAGGCATTGTGTTGGAAGAGGTAGGAAACACAAAAATGAATTGGAATTGCATCCTCCGGGGTGTAGTACTCTAAATGTTTACATAATCATAAGAGAAGGTACAAAATAATAAGTACTGCAATGGCACACAAAGTTTGGGGAGTGTTTAGAATAAGATGGTAATTAATGCTTACAACTTGGCAGCAATTAGGAGAGGTGGTGGAAGGTTAAGAAGCCAGAGCTTCAGGAAAGCCCTTTTAAAGAAGTGACACCTGAACTGAGTTAAAAAATGTAGAATTCAGAGGAGGGAAGCATATTTGTGGCAGTGAGAATGCTGAGTACATTAGTTCTCCCATTTGACTCAAGTGGAAGGTACTTGAAGGTAAGTAGCTGGAAATAAAGTAAAAAATGTAGGCTGGAGCCAGATCACAGAAGGTCCTGAATGCCACTCTGGGAGAAGATTTGTATATTGACCAGGTGCTTGTTTTAATAGTTTTAAAGATTTGCAGCTGAAGGTGAAGGGAAGAAATAA